GCAAGATACGAAACCAGAAATTCTATCAATTGACTTTGCTTTTACCGTCTACATGTCAGAGGTAAGAGGACTTTCTCTGGCTTGACTAATAAGAAGTGTTGGCGTTTTACTGTTTGATTTCTAGTGATATTCTAGTCTACTGAATGGTCTATTTCAGGAGTTCAGATGAATGTGAAACTAACCTTAGTTTTTAAGAAAAGAATCACATAATGCAACACAGGGGAACTGTGTGGAAACCACCTATACTTATTTTCTACTACAGTTCTTAGCAAATTCCAGCTCTCTAAGACAGAATTCTCTTGCCTGTAACAGAATTAAATATTAAACTTCCAGATGCCTCTTTTCTTACTTTGTGTCCCAGCAGCAATGAGTCTCAGCAAAAGCTGTTCCAGCTCCTGAGGAAATGGGCAGCAGAGGACTACCTCACTTCGGGCCTACTTAATCCCCCAATCCCTTAGTGTTGGGGGGAGGTCAGGAATTGTTTTTAAGTAGAATTTTACTACATGGCTTTTCATTTTCCAAAGGCAAAGATTTCCATAACATTAGAACAAGGGTGCTAAACTTAGCAAGTTGCATTTTTTTTCCATTAAAAAATTTAAAGATTATTTGAAGACGGTAGATTTTTCCAACTAATTTGTTAGATCACGTTAGTGCCCAGTAACTAATACTTGGTGCCTGATAGTTCTTGAGAAAAAAGATTTTCTGTGAAGTTCTCACAGTAGATTTTCTTTCCTAAAGAAACCATATGCCCACTTACACATATATTCTGTGTTCCTCTCTTCCCAGTCGATCAAACAACTCTCTTTTTCCTCCTAAGAGTACTGAGCCAGGTCACTAGCTTTTCCCTCTTTCACTTCTTCTCTTATTCCTCCCTTTTCTTCTATAATAAATATTACTTACTAAATGCTTACTATGTGCTAAGTAGTAGGGACATAAACAAATGAGCAAATTAGTTCAATTTATGAAACATAAAGATGCAGGAAAGACCCATGAAGACGGATCTCTGCTGAAAGACCCATGCAACAAATATTGATCAAGAACAATTCATGATCAGTTAGCTTTTAAAGGCCTCTCTCTTCCATTTTTTTTCATAGATTCATCAAAGGCATTGTATCCCAAGAGAATTGAGAAATATTTAAAAAAAGAATAAAAGTTAGAAAATATTAATCTAAGACATGATTACTTAACCTGAAAATAGTTGATTTCAAAAATATGTCAGTATACTTTATCTATTTTACATAAATAAGACCTAACTCTTCCCAATACGTTGAACGTTTATATTTTTATATAATTCTAAACTAGAAACGATTCTGTGGGCTTTCATGTTTCTTATTATCATTTAGATAGCATATAAAATTATCTCCTTGAGGCAAAATCTTATGCATTTAAGTAAAACTCTTTAAATTGTGTCATTCAAATACAGTATTATTTATTGAGTTCTTCTCAGAAACTAGGTCAAGTTAGGAAAACAAATGAAAACACATAGTTCCTGTCCCCAAGGAGTTTTTAAGATCCTCAACATTTAATTGTTTCACAGCTTTTCAAAAATTTACTATATCATAGCAGAAACAATAAAGGCTTTAGAAGTAGAGTGACAGAGCAAATTTTGAGTCCGGGCTTCACTGTAGAGATGAGCAAGTTTCTTATGCCCTCTGCACACTGATCTCTTCTCTGTAAAATGAGGATGATACCGTCTACCTTAAAGAGTTGCTATAAGTACAATTAGAGTGGCTAGCAGAATGTTTGTCCTAAATATTATCTATTACATTATTTTTCAGTTTTAAAGACCATTGCAAAAACTTAGACCATTTATATTAATAATGAACATCCTATCTTTAAAAAAATGCGATCTGAACTGTATTATAAGCAGATAGGCACTTAAGATGTGTAAAAATTCAATTTGATGCTACACTTCATATAATCTCGTAAATATTCAATGTATTTCCAATTAATAAAGAAAAAAAGTCAAAATCCATTTGAAGTAACATTAAATAAATCATATGCACAGTATATTAAAGATCCTCCCAAGTAAGTATGTTGTTTCTTCTCAAGCATGCATCTCGTAAATATTCAATGTATTTCCAATTAATAAAGAAAAAAAGTCAAAATCCATTTGAAGAAGTAACATTAAATAAATCATATGCACAGTATATTAAAGATCCTCCCAAGTAAGTATGTTGTTTCTTCTCAAGCATGCGTGGTCTAGTAACTGTTTAGGAATTCCACAGACTCAATATACTTGTATACCAATCGAAACCACTTTCTAAGGTTAGAGTTCCTAGACCTTAGAGGCTCAGAGGCTGCCCTAAAGGGTAATCCCAAGAACTGGGACTTTCCTTTTCTTAGTGACAAAGAATAGCACCTACGAAGGCTTTTAGGTCAATAGTTGCTGATTTGTTAAAGATACTAAGTATAACCAAGTATAACCCTCTCATTGAACTTTCCTGTATTAAAATATGTTAACGCTCTGAAAGGATTAACGTGCCTCCTAAAGAACCAAATTAGAATTCAGAGTTTTGAGTAAGAAGGGACTCCAAGCTCCCTGCTTCCCACCCCACTCTCAACAGTTTAACAAAGAGGAAACTGAATCCAAACAAGTCAGTGAGGGATTTCCCAGAGACACATGGCAACCCAATGGCAGAGACTGGAGCAGACAAAATTCAAGGTACCTGACTTCTAATCCAGTACTCTGCTTACAAGAGCAAGCTTTTAATTCTATTATTTAAAAAAAAGGAATGATTTATGCACATGTGGCTAAGAAAAAAATCCATGAGAATATATATTTATTACTAAGTCAGCTGTCAATAAACTTTAAACCAATATGGAGCATATCATGTGGACATCATTCTAACTGAACAAGCATTACCAGCTTTTCTGAACTTAAGAGCCATTAAAAATTGCTGTGAGTGCTTCTAAATCCCTTTTTAAAAAAAATTTCTAAAACAAGCAAATAAGCAAACCTACAAACAAATAAGCAAATACGCAAACAAACTGTTGGGAGAATTCATGATTTATCCATCACGAAATGTAAAAATCCTTTCTAGAACCTTTTGGCAATTGACCAACCAGCTCTGTTTGAATGTTTTCAGGGGTAAAGGCCATCCCCATTATCACAGTGCTTTGTTACAAGGGTAATCCAAACAACTTGTCTGTAGACTTCTATCCATTAGAACCAGTTCCTCCCTCTGGAACAATACTGAATTAACCTAGTTTCTTTTTTTATATTTCATGTTCAGCCTTTCAAATATTTGAAGCTAGTGATCAGTCCAGCATTTCCTTTTTCTCTTCTTCTTGATAAACATATCTGGAATATTAAAAAGTACCTGGAAATAGATCATACAAATCATTTCAGCTCCATTCAGCTCAACAATGGTTTCTTAAGTCCCAGGTATTGTGCTAGGTGCTGGGAGTACAAAGAGAAATGAAACATAATCCTGGCCCTAGAGGAGCTTATAACATAGTGGGAGACAGAAGCATATCCAGAGATAATACAGCCATCTCTGATAACACTTACAAACAAGATTAGAGAACAAGAAAGTAATCAAGGGCAAAGATACAGAAAATACAACAGTGGGCATTGTGCCAACGTCACAAATTTGGATTCAAATTCCTGAACTAGAAATTCTACTTAAACTGTTAAACACAGGTTCAATCTAATCTAAACAAAATGTGGATGTTCTTAGTACCTACATAGAAGGGATAATTAGGAATAGAAAATATCAAAACATACATTCATATTCAGGAACATTGCCAGTGCACAGTTAAGCAATACCCTAACCCTAACCCTAAAATAAACTATTCCAAAACAGAACTTAAAATCAATGACACTATATAAATTTATAATGTGAGAGACTGGTTTTCCTGACTTCTATTGTGAAGTGTGAGGTAGTGCATATTGAAAGAAATTGTTTGGTATGGCATTCAAAAAAGCATTCTTCTCATTCAATAACGTTTCTTTCATAAAAATTCAAAGAATTAAAACATGAATATTCAGTATTCCAAAACAATGACAAGCACAATTCATTGATAGAATGTTAATTTTTTCCTTGACCAAGAAAACCATTAAAGATGGAATTTGGTTGAACAATACTTAAGTGAAACAGCTCAGATCTCTGGAGAATCAAAGTTGAACTTTATTATAGTCGTCTTTAAATTATCTTGAAGTGTTACGTGTAAAAAATAAGATTAAAACTTCCTCTGACCATACAATCTTGTGTAAGATCCATAGTGCATGTCAACCTTCTCTGTAAATTTTCCTTTAAACTGATAGTATTTATTTAGCACTCCAGACAATGCTAAAATAAAATTAAAACACTGTTCTGCACTATGCAACTTCTTTACAACATGTACACACGATTCCCATATTTCTGATTTAAATGTTTAAAACACTTAGTCAATAACTGTCTATAATTAATAGTAATTTTTATTTCTACATAGTTCTTAATATTAGAATCATTCCTAGGATCAACCTTTAGTAGAAACAAGATAAAAGATAAATGTGAGAATGCTTCTTATTGGTCTCATATTTATTTATTTTTTAAACCACTTGGTCATTTTAAATTTCTTGGTTACAAGAGAACATTGTTTGTCCACACCTGATTGTTCACAGCCCATGGAACATCGCTCCCTCTAAAGCAGTGTCTGCTGATGGGGGTGATTAGGAGAAAAGTAGAGGGCAAATATCTTAGAAACATTGGAAGAGTCTTTCCAAACTGTACCCCACCATCACAACCACAGAAAGCCAATGCTTTAGAGGTGTGTTGCAGACCTAATAACAAAACTGCAATCAAAGTTTAGCTAGAACTGAATTTAGAAGCTACTGTCACAAGTGCTCCTAAAAAGAATCCAAAAAAGAGTAATGAGGCCAACACACAGGGCTTCTGAAGATACCTATGTATATACAAAGTTCAGGTTCCCAGCTAGAACTGTAGTAAGGCAAGAAACCAAAGGAAGAAAATTACTTCCATCACATCTATGCATGAACACTTTCAATTGCTTACCTCCAATATTCTGAATTATTATGGTACTTGCCACCACCACCTATAAAAGAACAAATATATTCAGAAGATAAAAGGGGAAGTAATATAAAAGGATAAGTATTTTATTAAAATCCAATAATTATTACTAAAACACAGATGTAGAAGTCATGAATGAAAAGAATTGGAAAGAAAAGATTTTGCCATCCATTTGTAATACATAAAATTAATAACCATCACATTAAAAAAGCCTTTAACAGTTCCACAGTTACTGTAAAGAACATTTTTGAAATTTTTCTTGGCAGTCATTTTTAAGAAGTTTAGAGTGTTTAAAAAATAAATTTTAAAAAAAGAGTTAAAAACTAGTAATCGGTGATTATCAAAGTATAAAAAATTGAAATGAAATCTATCTAGAGGAATGGGTTTCAGTCTCCCTTTCTTATTGGTTTTATTTATTTAAAATTTTATTTTATTTTGTCAATATACAATGTGGCTGATTATAATGGCCCATTACCAAAACCTCCCTCCCCCTCCCTCTCCCCCCTCCCTCCCAAAAACCTCATATCTGTTCACTTGTCATATCAACTTCAAGGAATTGTAATTGTTGTCTTCTTCCCCCACCCCCAGTTTATTTGTATATTTATTTATTTATTTTAGCTCCCACAAATAAGTGAGAACATGTGATATTTCTCTTTCTGTGCCTGACTTGTTTCACTTAATATACTTCTCTCTAAATCCATCCATGTTGTTGTAAATGGCAGTATTTCATTCTTTTTTATAGCTGAGTAGTATTCCATTGTGTAGATATACCACATTTTCCATATCCACTCATCTGATGATGGAAATTTGCGCTGGTTCCAACTCTTAGCTATTGTAAATAGTGCTACAATGAACACTGGAGAACAGGTATACCTTCGACTTGATGATTTCCATTCCTCTTGGTATGTTCGCAGCAGTGGGATAGCTGGCTCTTAGGGTAGATCTATCTGCAATTGTTTGAGGAACCTCCATACCATTTTCCATAGAGGCTGCACCATTTTGAAGTCCCACCAACAATGTATGAGAGTTCCTTTTTCTCTGCAACCTCGCCAGCATTTATCGTTCAGAGTCTTTTGGATATTAGCCGTCCTCACTGGGATGAGATGGTATCGCGGTGTAGTTTGGATTTGCATTTCCCAAATGCTGAGTGATGTTGAGCATTTTTTCATGTGTCTGTTGGCCATTTGTATATCTTCTTTTGAGAAATGCTTATTTAGCTCCTTTGCCCATCTTTTAATTGGGTTACTTGTTTTTTTGTTGTTGTAAAGTTGTTTGAGTTCCTTATAAATTCTGGATATTAATCTTTTGTCAGATGTATTTGTGCAAATATTTTCTCCCACTGTTGATTGTCTTTTAAATCTGTTAATTGTTTCTTTTGCTGTGCAGAAGCTTTTTAGTTTTATATAATCCCATCTGTTTATTTTTCCTTTGGTTGCCTGTGCTTTTGGCATCATATTTATGAAGTCTGTGCCCAGTCCTACTTCCTGAAGTGTTTCTCCTCTGTTTTCTTTAAGAAGTTTTATTGTTTCAGGGTGTATATTTAATTCTTTAATCAATTTTGGGTTGATTTTTGTATATGGTGAGAGGTATGGGTCTAGTTTCATTCTCCTGCATATGGATATTCAGTTATCCCGGCACCATTTGCTGAAGAGGCAGTCTCTTCCCCAGTGTATAGGCTTGGTACCTTTGTCAAAGATCAGATGGCTGTAGGTGTGTGGGTTGATTTCTGGATTTTCTATTCTATTCCATTGATCAGTGTGTCTGCTTTTATGCCAGTACCATGCTGTTTTCATTATTATAGCTTTGTAGTATAGTTTAAAGTCAGGTAGTGTTATGCCCCCAGCTTTATTTTTTTGCTCAGAATTGCTTTGGCTATGTGTTGTCTTTTGTTATTCCATATAAATGTCTGGATAGTTTTTTCCATTTCTGAGAAAAATATCACTGGAATTTTGATGGGGATTGCATTGAATCTGTAGATCACTTTGGGTAGTATGGATATTTTCACAATGTTGATTCT